TGTTCCACAAGGATCTCTCCTCTTGTGCGCTGGCTGGGCAGGTGAGAACGTTCCAGGCCGCTTGAGAATTACGGGTCTCACTGTCAATTAACAAAGCAGCTGCTGTAGTATGGCGGCTGAGTATAGATTCTGCATACAGTGTAGATTATAGATTCCGTATCGAGTGTAGATTCTGTGGAGTAGAAAAGAGGTCCCCAACCCCCGGGTCATGGACCAGTACTAGTTTGTGGCCTGTTAGGAACCGGGCCGCACAGCAGCAGGTGAGCAGCAGGTGAGCAAGCAAAGCTTCCTCTGTATTTACAGGTGCTCCCATTGCTTGCATTACCGCTTGAGCTCTGCCTCCTGTCAGATCAGCAGCCGCATTAGATTCTTACAGGAGCACAAACCCAATTGTGAACTGTGTGTGTGAGGGATCTAGGTTGCAAGCTCCTTATAAGAATCCTGTGTCTGACTATCTGTCACTGTCTCCCATCACCTCCAAATGGGACCATCTAGTTGCAGGAAGACAAGCTCAGGTCTCCCATTGATTCTACATTATGGTGAATTGTATATAATTATTTCATCATGTATAACAATGTAATAGTGATAGAAATAAAGTGTACAATAAATGTAATGCGCTTGAATCATCCTGAGACCATCCCCCCATCCCCAGTTAGTGGAAAAACTGTCTTCCATGAAACCACTCCCTGGTGCCAAAAAGGTTGGGGATGGCTGTAGTATAGTATAGCTTAGCTTCAAATTCTGCTGCTTTCTCCCTCTCGCTCTCTTTTTTTTTTTTTTGAGATGGAGTCTCGTTCTGTCACCAGGCTGGAGTGCAATGGTGTGATCTCGGCTCACAGCAACCTCTGACTCCCTGGTTCAAGCGATTCTCCTGCCTCAGCTTCCCAAGTAGCTGGGATTACAGGCATGGGCCACCACGCCCAGCTAATTTTTGTATTTTTAGTAGAGATGGGGTTTCACCATGTTGGCCAGGATGATGTCAAGCTCCTGACCTCGTGATCTGCCCGCTTCGGCCTCCCAAAGTGCTGGGATTACAGTCATGAGCCACCATGCCCGGCCCTGGTTTCCTCTCTTAATAGATGGGTGACCTTCTTAACCTTTGTGCCTCAGTCTCCTCATCTGTAAAGTGGCTTTAAGAATAGTACTTATCATGTATACTTGAAAATGGCTTGCCAGACTCAGTGGCTCATGCCTGTAATCCCAGCACAGATTATAGAGAGGCCGAGGCGGGCAGATCACCTGAGGTCAGGAGTTTGAGACCAGCCTGAGCAACATGGTGAAACCCCCATCTCTACCAAAAATAAAAAATTAGCCAGGCATGGTAGCAGGAGCCTGTAATCCCAGCTACTCAGAAGGCTGAGGCAGGAAAACTCTTTGAACCCAGGAGGTGGAGGTTACAGTGAGCTAAGATAGCCTTACTGCACTCCAGTCTGGATGACAGAGAGAGACTCCATCTCAAAAGAAAAAAGAAAATTGCTAAAAGAGTAAATTTTACATGTTTTTAACCGCAAAGAAAAGTATATGAGGTAATGGATGTGTCAGTTAGCTTGATTTAACCATTCTATAATGTATACATGTATCAAAACATCATGTTGTATACCATAAATATATTCCATTTTTATTTGTCAATTATAAATAAAGAATTGTGCTTTTTTTTTTTTTTTTTTAGAGACAGGATCTTGCTCTGCCACCCAGGCTGGAGTGGCTGGCTATTTTTTTCATTTTGTGGTAGAGTCTTGTTATGTTGCCCAGGGTAGAATCGTACTTATCAGAAGAATTAAATGGCATAGTACATCTGTTGCATGTAGCACAGTGCTGGCACCTGAGAAGCGATCAGTAAATGTAAATGTTAGCTTCTATTTGTATTATGGTTTTATCCAGCTGCCTCCTGAGCTTGTTTAATATAGGCCAGCCACAAGAGATGATCCATTCTGAGTGTGCCAGGAAATCATGTTTCTGGGCCCAGAAGTCCAGTGATTGCCCTCTGGAGAACGGGGGCAGATTCACCAAGGTGTCCGCTACTGTGTGGGACTGGACAGGTTATCAGATGCCCGTCTCCTGGCCTCTCATCATGGATCCACAGTGGCATGCAAGTGTTCTTTTGTGACATTTCAGCACACATGGATTATTATAGTGACTACATCATGTTTGAGATCACAGTGAGATCTTCTAGAGGGCCTTGTGCTTTCCCTTGCATCCTTTCAATTAGCTAAAGGGTAGATAGTGAATACTTCCTTCCTGAATGACATAAAGAGGATTATAGAGAATTCAGATGAAACTGGAGCATGCCCAGAAAAAATGAAGTAGATGGGAAGAGTGAAAACTAGAAAACTGGAGAGGGCATGATGGTCAGGCAAGACATTATTTATTTTTTTCTTTTTTTGAGATGGAGTTTCATTCTTATTGCCCAGACAGGAGTGCAGTGGTGCAATCTCAGCTCATTGCAACTTCCAACTCCCAGATTCAAGCAATTCTCCTGCCTCAGCCTCCTGAGTAGCTGGGATTACAGGTGCCCACCACCACGCCCAGTTAATTTTTTGTATTTTTAGTAGAGACGGGGTTGCACCATGTTGGCCAGGCTGGTCTTGAACTCCTGACTTCAGGCGATGCACCTGTCTTGGCCTCCCAAAGTGCCGGGATTACAGGTGAGCCACTGTGTCCAGCCGAGCCATTCTTAAACGGAGCTCCCAGAAGAGCTCACTGGAGTCAGGGGTCCAGACCTAGCAAACCCAAGAGGACAGTGGCTCCTAGAGGAGCAATGTGGTTGTTCCAACACTGCAGCCCTTGTATGTGCTGCCCAGGCAGCAGTGAAGACCACCGCCCAGGGGTTGCCAGAAGGGCCACTGGATGAATTTAGTGGCTGTCCTAACATGGTGGCCATGAGGGAGACCCCAGACCTCAGCAGCTTCTGCATCTCTGGGCATGGTGAGAAGCCAGGAGTGGAAACTAAGAAGGTCATGACTCCAGCAGCTGGGGAGGGCACTCGGTTTTCCTTAGAAGGTGGCAGCAAGGGAGGGCTCAATCTCCCAAGCCCAACGGCTCTGAGTTTGCACACTCACCATGTGATTCCATTCTCTTGTGTGTCCATCACAGCCCTGTGGGCCTCAGAGTCTGTTTCCCTAAGCCTGTGCTCTAGCTCCTTGTGATGGCTTCACAGACCCCCCCGCAGATTCAGTTTTCCCCTGGGCCTCACCCATCTGGGAAATTCCTATATGGGCGTCCTATAAACCACTGCAAACTTCAAACACTCCTATTAAACTCAACATACACATTTTTAGGATCTTAAATACTGACCATGCTATTAAAGGTAGAATCATAGACATTTTAGAGTAAATGGGGACCTTAGAGCTCTCCAACGCTCCTGAATTTTACAAATGAAGGAAGTGAAGCTCAGAAAGGTTGAGCTACTTACCCAAGGACACACAGCTGGCTTAGGGGTGGGGGTAGAACTAGAAGCCTGATGTTTATAGGAACTCATTTCTCCATGCCACATTCTTAACAAATGTAGGCTTTGTAAGGATTTACATTGACTCATCTGCTAAATTTCAAGTTGATTTATTTGAGTGATGTGTTTAGTTGATTCATTGTATATCTCTGCTGAAATTATTCCTAGCCATTGCTAAAGCGGTTAGGTCTGGGCTGAAAATCAGAAGAATCTCTGTAAAATGTTGAAAGATGAGCCAATTTTTAAAACCCAGAAGGGAATGTGTATGGCCTGTGTAGCTGGAGTTTTCTAAACATTTTTTTCTTCATCTATGGAACATTTTTATCATTCTAGGGAAGATTTAGACATTGAATGTACTAAAAGGATTTCATTTGACTGCTATATACTTACCCCTGCCTGTAATCCTCTAATAAACACTCGCAGGCAGAACAGCCTAATTGGCAGGATGAGTTAATGCACAGGCCACTTATTTGCCAAGCACATGACACAGACCATGAACAAAATAAGCTCGTAACTGCCTCTCCCTGTTAGCAAATGCTTGTCCGCACCCCGCCCTCTCGCAACCTGCTCTTCCTCTGGGCTTGAGCTTGGGGACAGTTTGATGTACAACTGCCACGCACCAGCAGGCTTCAGATAAGCCTGGAAAGAAATGCAGGGGAAAGAACTTTCTGGTCAGGAGAACCTCTCGCTGCAGGGGAGTGGCCACCCCAAGTTAAAACATGTGTGCTGGCCGGGCACGGTGGCTCACGCCTGTAATCCCAGCACTTTGGGAGGCTGAGGTGGGCAGATCACCTGAGGTCAGGAGTTTGAGACTAGCCTGGCCAACATAGTGAAACCCCATCTCTACAAAAAAATACAAAAATTAGCTGGGCATGGTGGGTGCCTGTAATCTCAGCTACTTGGGAGGCTGAGGCAGGAGAATCACTTGAACTTGGGAGATGGAGGTTGCAGTGAGCGGGGGTCGTGCCACCGCACTCTAGCCTGGGCAACAGAGTGAGACTCTGCCTCAAAAAATAAATAAATAAAAATTAAAAATAAATAAAAATAAAACATGTATGTTTCTAAAACATAGCTAAATATGAGTTCTGTTGGGGAGGATGAAGTGTCTCTCTGTGTTGGTCACAAGAGTGGATTGCAATAAAACCACTAATAATGATAATAAATATGATCACACTGGCTTGGCCAGGGGCTGCCTTCTGCTTTATTCTTCCAGAAACAGTTTAGCAAAGTCATTGTGAGACTACTGTCCTGGAGCCTCCACTCCTCACCTACTCAAAAGTATAGCAAGGCTGTTTGAGCCTCCTGCCATCCCTTATTCCTGTCTCCATGCTGACCTGCCTTGCAAGGGCAGCCTCCCTTTCTTGGAGGCACACTTCGAACCAGTCTCCTGGGTTTGCACGAACCCTCCCTCCAGCCTGGGCATGAACTTGTCGTAGGCTGTGCGCACTATAAAGCCTATCCTAGGGCTTATCCTCACTCTACGTGGACACCTCTTCCCTGGACCCACTCTGCGAAGGGGCCTTTAACCAAATACCTGTGCTCTGTGCCCTCATAGGTCTCCCAGGCAGCTGCGGACCTCCTGGCCTACTGTGAAGCTCACGTGCGGGAAGACCCTCTCATCATTCCAGTGCCTGCGTCAGAAAACCCCTTTCGCGAGAAGAAGTTCTTTTGTACCATTCTCTAACTTCATGTGTGATGAAAACGCCTCCTTTTCTGACCTTCAAAGTCCCCTGTAGAGACCATGCATGCTCTAAGCCTTAGGGAGTGAGACCAACACCCATCCCTGCCCAGCCAATGGTGGCCAGGGCTTGTCTTATGTTTTCGTCTGTTTTCTTCGTGGCATTCAATTTCATTTTTTTCCTTTTCATTTTCATGTTATTTTCATTATTGGCAAAGAAGATCAAAATTGTTATAGCCAAATAACAAATGTGCCATGTAAAAATAAGTCTGGAGTTAAGAGTTTAAAATTTTTAAACATCAATTTCCAAGTGTATATCATATTAATACATTTCAGGGGATAACTTATTTTAAAAAAAAATGCCTACATAGCTCTTATTTGCAATATTCAGTATCAAATGAGAGCATTTTGGCCAACTGAAACATATAACGTTCTCATCTCCTTTCGTGGAGAAAGCAGTTGCAGAGGTTCTCTAGTTCCTGCATTTCCATCATCCTAGTGAAAAGACAACCCACAGGATTGGAATGGTTTTCTTTTGTTTGTTGTTGTTGTTGTGGTGGTGGTGGTGGTGTTGAGACAGAGTCTCGCTCCGTTGCCCAGGCTGGAGTGCAGTGGTGCGACCTCAGCTCACTGCGACCTCCACCTCCTGGGTTCAAGTGATTCTCCTGCCTCAGCCTCCTGAGTAGCTGGGATTACAGGCATGCACCACCATGCCCAGCTAATTTTTTGTATTTTTAATAGAGACAGGGTTTCACCATGTTGGTCAGGCTGGTCTCAAATGCCTGACCTTGTGATCCACCCGCCTCGGCCTCCCAAAGCGCTGGGGTTACAGGCGCGAGCCACCGCGCCCAGCCGTGGAATGGTTTTCTTAACGTATCCTCCCGGGGCCATGGTGGATGTCCCTTGTTTCAGTGGTCCTGCAAAGATAGATGGTGGGCAGACACTGAAGTCAACTTGACTGTAAAAGTACCCCATGCCGTTGATATGCTGTAGCAGACCTGTGGGTGCGGTCTCCCCTCTCCAAATGCCACCTCTTCCTGCTCCCTCCTCTTTTGGTTCCTACTTAGTAGTTCCATTGTGGGCTGCAGTAATATAAGCACCTGTTCTGGACACAGCGCTGGGCCCGCTGGGGTTTTACTAGGGCAGTCCCTCCTCTGCAGGAGTGAGTCATGGTGACAGCAGCCCCCTGTGTGCCCCCTAGTCATCTGAGCATTGGTGTGCATTAAGGTACTTAATCTTCCAACAATAAATACCATAAGTGCATGTCTGTTTTGTTTTATTTTATTTATTCATCTTTTTGAGACAGAGTCTTGCTCTGTTGCCCAGGCTGGAATGCAATGGCACAATCTCAGCTCACTGCAACCTCCACTCCCAGGTTCAAATGATCCTCATGTCTCAGCCTCCCTAGTAGCTGGGATGACAAGCGCAGGCCAGCACACCTGGCTCATTTTTGTATTTTTAGTAGAGACGGGCTTTCACCATGTTGGCCAGGCTGGTCTCCAACTCCTGGCCTCAAGTGATCTGCCCACCTCGGCCTCCCAAAGTGCTGGGATTATAGGTGTGAGTCAGTGCACCCGGCCATATGTCTGTTTTAGAGTGAGGGGAAACTGAGGCACAAAAAGTTTATGTAGTTTGCCCAAGGTTACACATGGTTAGCAGAAAAACTGGGGTTTGAGGGCAGGCAGCCCAGCCCCAGAGTTCCCTTAGCCCCCTGAACTGTGCTACCTTCCAGGTCTACCTGTTTGCAGGTAGGGAGACCCGCAAACTATCTTAACTGCACACCGTGAAGCAAACACCTTTTTTGCACCAACCCATGGCACACTTCACTTCCCATGTTCACCAGGAGGAAGCCGAATTCTGGCAGTTTAAGGAAGGTGATTCATGGATGCCCCAAGGAAAGGCTAGACATTGATGAATTAGCTCTTGGATTGTCTAAGATCAACCTGAAGGCCCTACCTAAACCAAACTCATATGACCCCAATGAAAGAGGAGAATACACTGTGGGAGCAGAGCTCTTTGTCTAAGTTTGTTCTATTCTGTTTATTTGGAAACTGCCTGTCTCCCTAGTTCTGACCAAGACTTGCTGTGTGATACAGAGCAGGCCATTCTGTGCCTGAAATGTTCTAACCTGCAAATTGGGCTTAATGGTAATTATCCTGCCTTTCTGTCTGAGAGGAAACAGAGATGCGACATAGATGAAAGCTCTGATTATCATTTAAAACAAATAAATGTACTAAATGCCATGGTATAATATAGGGAAGAATGGATTACTTCAAAGAGACCATGGTTCCGTTGGATGAATAAAATTGCCTGCAAAGAGGCACATATAATTTTCAGATCAATTAATGACTTGCTGCCCTCGCAAATGGATTTAGGACATTTTTATTCCTTGCTTCTTTTGTTAAAACCCATTCTGAGTTTCATTATCAGCTCACTGATAATACCAGTGTTGTTAAGATGCTCAAACTAGAGCAGAATTGTATGCTGGATGTGACGCTAAGACCTCAGATCCTTTGATAGTGCAGTTTATGACCAGGATCTCTTTATTCTGTGGTTCACGCCAACATCATTAACCCGATGAAGCAAAGCACAAGTCACAAAAGCACATCAGAGAAGCTGAGAAAGTGGGACAGCACAGA